CGGAATACCACCAATCAGCTGTTTCAGGCTGCGGGGATTGCTGCTGCCCACCGCTGCTGCCTCCACCCATCACCGCCGCCTATTGCCACCTCTGCACACCCCATAACAGGCTGTGTGGGTCTAGATCTGCACCTATGTTAGCAATTATTAGGATTTATTAAAGTAGCTACAGTAGAAATGATTCTGATTTAAAATAGACCTAGGAAAAGTCTGTGGTGTTATGAGTTGTCAGAATGATTTGTCTGATTTGATCTGATTCCTCTTTATTTTCTTGCAAAATCTTCAATTGTTATTGGAAAAAGTGAAACAATTTGGAGCTGGTCTTTCGTGAAAAACCACAAGAGGGTATGATTGGAAGATGAACCTATAGTGTCATTCCTGGACAATTATTAGCAGATTCTTCTCCCATGGCGAGTATCTTCAGTACAAAAATTGACATTAATAGAAAGCCTTTGAATCATCTCTGCATTTCTTTCGTCCTACATTATAGTTGAAGATTATTTATTGGGCGGGTTGTTTTCTGGTGCATTGAGGGCAGATCTAATAAAATAAATCAGAGTCAATAGTTTTCTGCATTCTGGCAGACACTGGACAACTGCAATTAATGTGGAGGAGAAATGTTATATAAATCTGCCATTGTTCAAAGTGTGGAAATAATGCTATCAAGCTGAAACTGGCATCGTGTCTCCTAAGTTATCATGTGTTATTGGGCTTGGCTTTGTACATTATGTTTTTAGACATGCTGCTTTCTTGCCTCCCCTCTCTTTATTGCATTGGGGCCCGTGCGTGCAATCCAAAAAAAATTCAGCACAAGGATTTAGTTCATATAAACTTGCATTTAGACTGACAGAAAAGTAAACCAAGGCTGGATTCCCAATTTGTATTTGTTTAACAAAGCTAGATTGTTGACTATAAACTGTCTTCACGATGCCAGTGGTTTGTCTACATATTTCACTGGAAAAACAAAAACTTTTTAAAAAAGTTTCTAGATATATGTGTGATAGAAAGGGGCCATAGGAACTTTAACCTTCACTCTTGGTTCAGGGATTTAAAGCTACCGATAAATGCATGATTCTGTTGTGGTTTGCCAGCAGCCTGCAGAGCTGGTAGTGTAGTTGGACAGCGATGAGGCTGAGGAAGAACATGGGCGAGTCCTTGAGGCTGGGGAAGGCCCGGATGAGGGCTCTGCGTCGGAGGCAGAGATGGGCCATCGGGGAGTGATGTGCGGACTCCAGAGCTTCCAGAGGCTGACAGTAGAGAGGCAGAGGAACAGGAGGAGCCTGTTCCTAGTGCACATATGAGAAGAGCTGCCAGAAGGCAAGAGCAGCTAAAGCAAAGAGGATGACTCGGGAATAGAGCCAAGAGATGATTGGCCTCTCCCATAAGGCTTAAAAGACCAGCCACGGCTCTTAGGCTCTTTGTCAGAAAACAACGTTGATAGTCTTGCTGCACTTATCTCTTGTCGGCGTCTTCTGCTTCTGAACTTTTGCCAAGAGAAGCCTTTGGCACTTTGCCTCATTATACCAAGGTTGGTGATTAGACTGAAGAATTTGTGTTATGAAGAGTTTGTTTTAATTTAGTTTGGACTACGCTGAGAATGAGTTAATTCTCAGCTGTTCTAATAAAGTCTGTTTGTTCTGGAACTGTTTGCGTCAATTACTACCTACTTGGACCTGGGTCACAACAGATTCCCTCAAGTGAGAGAAACTTATGGATCTACTAAGCTAAATTCACTTACCAAGTATGGGTGTTTTACAAGGGAAGGCAAAGACGGAAAAGGTGATATCACATGTGACATCACTGTGACAACATTGTGGCTTTTATCAGATGCCTGTGTTACCAATCAGACATGGCAATACAAATAGTCCTCAACTTACATCAGTTTATTTAGTGACTTTTCAAAATTACAACAGCACTGAAAAAACTGACTTTTTTTTTCACGTGACCATTGTGGCATCTCCATGGTCATGTGATCAACATTCAGATGCTTGGCAATTGACTCATATTTATGATGGATGCAGTGTCTCGGAGTCATGTGATCACCTTTTTTGACCTTCTGACAATGTGGAAACCAGATTCACTTAACAACCATGTTACTAACTTAAAACTGCAGTGATTTACTTAACAACTGTGGCAAGAAAGGTCATAAATGGGGCAAAACTCACTTAACAAATGTTTCACCTAGCAACAGAAATTTTGGGCTCAATTGTGATCATAAGACAAGGGCTATTATAAACCACTTAGAGAGGGCTGTAAAGCACTATGAAGCGGTATATAGGTCTAAGTGCTATTGCTAATGCCGTAGGTCCCAAGTATCCTTTGCCTAGAGCCCGTTCAAATTTATTTATTTATTTATTTATTTATTGGTTCAATTTATATGCCCCCTTCTCCGGAGACTCAGGGCGGCTTACAGTGGGTTAAGCAATAGCCTTCATACTTTTGTATATACCTGCTTAGTAGGGCTTTCGGCTCCCCCTAAGCGGTGTTCTTTTTTATACAAAGTCAGCTTATTGCCCCCACAATCCGGGTCCTCATTTTACCTACCTCGAAAGGATGGAAGGCTGAGTCAACCTTGAGCCTGGTGAGATTTGAACTTGCAGTAATTGCAGGCAGCTGGTGCTACTTAACAGCACTTTAGGTCTGCTGTGCCACCAAGGCTCTTTTATAATACAATTAATACAAATTAATATAAATACAAATTTATAATACAATTGGAATTTCTAAGACAAATACCACAATGCCATTTGTGGGGTAAGATTATTAAATAACAGTGATAGGATCTTCTATCTCAAAGGCATCATATTTCTAATCCCGTTTGCCAGGATTGAGCATCAGGTTATAATCTCCTAATGTCCTGCTTGTGTTATGTCCCAGAAGCCTTTGATTGGACAGCATGGGAACAAAAAGATATCTACAGAGGTTTTAATCTGATCCAGCAGGGCTGTTCTTGCTTACTCTGTCATTCTGAGCCGCAGTGGCGCAGTGGTTAGAATGCAGTACTGCAGGATACATCTGCTGACTGCCAGCTGCCTGCAATTTGGCAGATCGAATCTCACCAAGGTCAAGGTTGACTCAGCCTTCCATCCTTCCCAGGTTGGTAAAATGAGAACCCAGATTGTTGGGGGCAATATGCTGACTCTGTAAACCACTTAGAGAAGGCTGTAAAAGCACTGTGAAGTAGTATATAAGTCTAAGTGTTATTGCTATTGCTGTCCTAAAAATACCAATAAAGATCCAAATTTACAGCTAATGGTTTTTCCAAGACTGGTAGTCGCTCAGAAGCTCTGAGCAGGGTATTTTAGCATCAGAGTGAGCAATAAATCTGAAGTAGCTTGGAGCCTGCTTCCCTGAGGACCCTAATACAGATAGTCCTTGACTTACAACCATTCATTTAGTGATCATTCTAAGTTACAACTAGTGATTTACAATCAGTTTTCATGCTTAACAATTATTACAATTCCCTAGTTAAATAGAGCTTTTTTCTTTTGTGTTTTAAAATCTTGAACTCTCCTCTTTTTCCCTAAATTTCCCATTGTTTGCACCTACCTTTTTTGGTGAGGAAAAAGAAAAGAAATCTGCCTGCCTAATTTTCAAACGTTGCAGCAATAGCAAAGCAGTTTCAGTTTCGTTTTTCAGGATAGCTAGGGGAAAAAAAATCTGCTCCAGGACTCTTTGCAAGGAAGCAGCAGAACCCTGAGCAAAACAGCTGAGACAAATCAGTTGAGAGTCGGGAGCCGATCTAATCAAGGGCTAATTAGCCTATGCTGAAGCTCCGTGGGCCAATAAAATTACAAAAAACCACCGAACCATTTGTTAAATTGCTGGCTCGCCCGCTCCTCACCCACCACTATTTATTGGCAATAAATAGTGGTGCGGAGGGGCGGGGCAAGCCAGCAATTTAACAAATGGTTGGGCTGCACCACTGGCTATAGGGCGGCCCTTTGAAGCCCCGTGGCAAGAATTTAAAGAGTTTTTTTTCCTCTAGCCATCAGCTGGGACTCCGGAGGCAGCAATAGATTGGGAGTGGGCAGGGTTACCGAACGGCCGGCGATCCAACAGAGCAGAAAGTGAGGGTGAGTGAAGGCGTGGGGGGGCGAGAGAGGGCTTTGGCGACCCCTGTGAAATGGCCGTTCGATCCCCAAAGGGGTCGCGACTGCCAGGTTGAGAACCGCTGTTCTAGGGGAAGGCTGGACAATCCCTCAAGCTGCATGTATTCCTCAGATTAATTGTTGTGTCCCCAGATCGTATTGCTGAGATTTTATGATAAATCTTCAGTGTACAATGGCAGGAATTTGCACACGTTTAATTTTTTCCCAATTTACATCTTATCACACACACACACCTTCCATAAAAGAACTGTAAAATCCCTTTCCCCAAAAATATCATTACATCAATTCTAAGCTCCTGGGAATCGTTTGAGAATTCAAAACAAGGGAAGAGTCCCTCCCCAGATCTATAAAATGACCCACATATTGTAATTAGTATGCCATTTTGAAAAGTACCCACAACCGGCTACCACACTTCTTCCTGAAAAGACATTCAAAGAAGGACCTCTAAAGGACAGTAATAAACCAGTGGTGAAATCTGAACCGGTTTGCTACCAGTTTGCTGGCCGTGCATGCGCACAGTGCGCCAAATGCACACTGCTTGCATATGCATGCGCATGCACAGTATGCACCAAATGCACACTCTGTGCACTGCACACACATGCGCAGTGCACCAAAAGGAGGCTTGGAAAGGTAAGTAGAACAATGAGGGGGGGGATCAGCTGTGGTGCGCGATTTAGCTTTGCTTGAAAGCAGGATTTCCTGCTTTCTAGCAAAGCTAAACCCCGCTGCACAGCTGATCATCAGTGTGAGAGAAAAGTTATTTCTCAATTGCTGTGCCTATTAATGGCTTTTGGAATGGACAAGTGGGTGAGCCAATCAGAAGGCAGCTGATAGGTTTGAATCTCCAGGGTTTTTATATTCCCTCCCATAACTGTCAAAGTTGATAGTATAAAAGGAGATTCCTGACAGAAAGTTAATTATCAGTTAGTAGTCAGTTAGTTGTCAGTTAGAGGGCAGTTCTGCAGTTCTAATGTCAGTTAGAAGCAATGGTGGGATTCAGCCAGTTCGCACCACTTCGGGAGAACCGATTGTTAACTTTCTGAGCAGTTTGGCAAACTGGTTGTTGGAAGAAATCATTAGGGAAGAGAACCGGTTGTTAAATTACTTGAATCCCACTACTGGTTAGAGGGCAGTTCTAAAGGGCAGTTCTGCAGTCAGTATGCAGTTGAAAGGCAGTTCGGAAGACAGTTAATCATCAGTAAGTTGGCAGTTAGGAGATTTCTGATTAGGGATCAGAGGTAGATCTGATGTATTAAAAGACTCCTTCTTCTGAGGAAGAATAGCCAGAACTATAATCATATAGAGTGATTACATATATATGTCTGACAGGATATTTAAGAAAAGGAATGACATACTATTTAGTATTTGAATAGATATTGTTTTTATTATTATGTAAATAAAAACAGTTTATTGTGAACTGCTAGTAAGTCTCATTTGTTATAGTAGATTGTTATAGAGATAAGATTTTACGGTACATAGATTTAACCTCCATGACAATCGGAAATACCGGTTCAGAGGAACAGGTAGCTTTTTTTAACTACTGGTTCACCTGAACAGGTAGCTAACTACCAGTTCACCCAAACCGATAGCTTTTTAAACTGCCGGTTCAACCGAACAGCTATTTTTTTAAAATCACTACCGGTTTGCCCAAACAGGAGCGAACCAGAAGCATTTCACCCCTGTAATAAACCCATTATATAATTCATAGTATATAAGCAAAAAGCCCATAATCTCTTTCCTAAATTTTACTTTACAAGGTATAAGAGCAATGCATGAATATTTAATGAAGCATGTGAATTTCTGTCACTGAGGGAGCCACATCAGACAAGGGTTTGCATTAGAACTCCAAATGAATCCTACCAATTGTTGTTTTATTGTTTATCGCTGATTGGTTACATATCTACCCTAACTTTTTTCTGAGGATTCAAGACGGCTTCTGTGGGAGATAAGGATGCCTGCAGCAGCCCCAGGAAGTGAGTTGAACAAGGGAAGCATGGCAGGCTGATAGCCATCCAATATGCTCTATGATCAAAAGGTAACTCAAACCTACATCTGCTAAATCTAATGCTTTAACCCCCACACCCATAATCCATTGATGTTCATGGAAGTCTAGCATAGAAGGTAGCTGCTGACGGTATTTGGTAAGATGCCTGGAGAACAATAGCAAGACAAAAGAGCACGGCAAACCTCGCTTTGAGGACCTGCGGTGAAAGGCATGCCCCGACAGCCAGCCGGGAGGATGTTTACAGAGTCTCCAAATGTGAATATACAGAAGACACAATTACCAAATAACTATCTTGGCCTGTGTGTTCTTTTACTTACAGAGCAATGTTTCCTGCTAGCATTCAGGGTGGCTTGGAAAGCCTTCAAGGCAAATGGCACTTTTTGTTGACACACTGTTAGGCCACACACAGAGCTCCTACTGACATACATACACAAGCTTGCGAACGCACAAACAGCTTGAAAAAACACATCTTTCAGCGCACATCTCTGAGAGCCTGCCTTCTCCCCAAATGCCTTTCGAACCTTTGTGATTAACTATTTGGACAGAACATTTGGAAGAAAGGAAGATGGCATTTCTCAAACTACAGTGACCAATCAAAAGATGTCATCTAATGTCCCAGTGGAAAGGTCACAATGACACTACTAGGTGGTCTTAGTGTCATTTTGAAAATGGAAAAGCTCAGGTGTCTTAAAATCTCTGTTTACTGCCCCCCTCTGTGCACCACAACAAAGGAAGGAAATTTTCAAAGGACATTAAAACATCTGTTCCTTGAATACAGGTTGCAGTGGAAGGGCTGAACTTGTCCTAGGAATACATGTCTTGTCTACTCTATACACATCTGGTTGGTAACCCATTCCATAAAGAGGAGAATGTCTAAGACCCAGCTGAGGAGACTTTTAGGTTGATTGAAACTGTGCTGTTTTCTAATCTCAGTCATTGCAAGTTTGAATTATCTCAAAGGAAAAAATAAAGAAAGTTTTATTGAAGCTGAATACAATGTGTTGGAAATTAGCTTGGTCACAGAAGGCTGGGATGTAGCACCCAACTAGACAACATGAGGCTCAAAGCTGCATGTGGCCCCCAAAAGCCAGGGATATCATCTCCAGGGAACCATCTAAAAGTTGCCAGCAAATTTTAACTTTAAATCAAGTAGATAAAGAAATGGTTGAATGGAACTAAACAATTTTTTTTTTAAATTAATGGAACTGAACAAAAACTTTTTTTTTTTATGATCTCATTTGCTTCTTTGATCAGGAATGCTTTGGGGAGATGCCTTTCAAAGCCACATAGAGAGCTTGACCCCAAAAGAGTCTGACTTCTCCCTTGACATGCCACCTTATCCATCTCCTTCTGTAGTTCCTTTGCTGGGATCAGTTGGAAGAAACTGCGTTTGACTGACAGAAGGAGTTTTCTTCCAACAGAATATTTATCTAAGCAAAATTTATCTGTACCATATTTTCAACCCTTCCAGGCAACACCTCTTGGGGTTAAGCTTGCAAGTCTGGTTTCATCTGCAAACAACTTACATTTTTCTTTCCCTTTCTTTTGGGTGAAAACAAGAAACTGCACACTTTTTGTATCCATATGTTGGTTACTCTCTTGCATGGGAAGGAACTGATAAAGGATACTATCCCATTTAGATGACTATAACTTTGTTGCTTGTATCCTTACAATTTATATTGATATTGTTTCCTGATTGCTTATTTGTACCCTATGATTATCATTAAGTGTTGTATTTTATGATTCTTGATGAACATATCTTTTCTTTTATGTACACTGAGAGTATATGCACCAAGACAAATTCCTTGTGTGTCCAATCACACTTGGCCAATAAAAAATTCTATTTTTAATTATTATGAGTCCCTAAGTAAGGACAGATGACCAAGCAAAGAATGAAGAATGAAAAGTTCTGAATGGTGCATCCAGATAAGTTTTGTATACAATTTATAAACAATTATAAGTATCATCGAGATTTAATTTCCTGCAGCTTTGTTGTTAGTGAGGCATAAATTTAAATGAAGTATAACCTGAATAGCATATTTTACAATCAGATAAAGGCTTTGGCAGACCATTTAATTACCCAAAGTTGGAATAACTATAATGTTTGTTTGGTTTCTTTATTTTGTCCTCAGGGAAGTTTAGAAGCCTTCCTTCTGGATGATATTTTTTAAAAAAAAATACTATTGGGTTACAGTTTTATTGATTTTTAAAAAGGTAATGGATGTTGGAAAATTCCTATATATATTAATATACATATAACTAAAGTGGCTATAGCATATTTTCCATAACTAGTATGTGCATTATGTAGAAATATTTTCCTAAGATTCAAGCTGTAATTAACTTGGGAACTGAGATGCAACTTCCACCCCCTGTAAAATATTTGTTGGAATACATTTGTTGGAATGTTCTCTCAAGCTGCCATTGGTTAGACATCCATGTGATATCAATGTTTCTCAACCTTGGCAACTTTAAGATGGGAGGACATCAAGTCCCTGAATTCCCCAGCCAGCCTGGCTGAGAAACACTGTCATAATTCAATGTGATATCCATGATAATTTCTCTTTCAGAGGTAGTAATATATCAAAAAAGATTTTCAAAGGATTCTGATTTTTCGAAATAAATCAGCCCTCTTATCAGCTGTCCTTTCTTGTTTTATGAATTTTATTCTCTCTTCGGTTTTTGATTGTTCATTGCAAACAACATTTCAGTAAAATGCTACCCATGTTTCTCCTTTTGAAACCCAGCAATTACTACTGAAAACTTTTCCAGATTCCATTTTTTGATGAAAGCTTTCCATCACTTTTATGTTTCTCCCTGAAGAGGCTTTAGGTGAGCAGCTTCTTGTGCTAATAATCAAAAGACTTTGTGTAGAAATTCTTTATTTTCCTATGTTAACCATTCAGGGTTTTAATGAAGTTTTTTTTTTTTCCTGGCAAGAAGAAAAAGCAACAATGATATGAAAATATGGGAGGATAGCAGTGGTCGGTTTCAAAAATTTTTACTACCGGTTCTGTGGGTGTGGCTTGGTGGGCATGGCTTGGTGGGTGTGGCAGGGGAAGGATACTGTAAAGTCTCCATTCCCACCCCACTCTAGGAGAAAGTTACTGCAAAATCCCCATTTCCTCCCGATCAGCTGGGACTTGGAAGGCAGAGAATAGATGGGGGTGGCGGGGCCAGACAGGATTTTTGCTACCATTCTCCGAACTACTCAAAATTTCTGCTACCGGTTCTCCAGAATGGTCAGAACATGCTGCAACCCACCTCTGGAGGGTAGTCATGGAAGATCACAATAACTAGATCCCTTGAAATTTTCTGATAACATTTTGTCTGGAAGAATGCTTTTTCACTGCACCTGCCCTCTGGAACAACTTTGCCTCATAAATCTGCAAGCTGCAACCTGAAGAATGTGCTGAAGATCTGGTTGTTTCTACAGGCACTGTGCTAAGGTATATATTATAGTTATATCGTGATCTGTATCCAGTTCTGGGGAGCATCATAAGAGTTACTGTATATATTAGAGGATCTAATTTTATGATGGTAACCAGCAGAGGGAGCATGTGAGTGAAAAAATTATTTCCCCCCCCCCCCCCATTGTGATATGTTAAAGTACTGAACTATGCAAACCTGTGATGGGAATAAAATGTATCCGTCCAAAACTATATACATTAAACTGGGTTTATTCTGAAAAATAAAATCAGAGAGAAATTTCTGCATCTTTGTATTGCTGTGTTCTGAAGGCCAAAGGAGGTGACCCAGCAGAGAGCATTAAGGCTTCTTTATATCTGAGATAAAATATATTAAGTTTTAGAAGATGATGGTTGTTGAACCTAAAGATTTTATCATAGTCCTAGGCTATAGAAGCATATTTATTATGCATGTACAGAAGCGGGGGGGGGGGACCCAACACATAAATTAACACTTCGAGATAAGTCTGATTGAGGCAGCTTGAGTTTCTTTTCTGAAATTTTAGGCTATTCTGATAATGCAAAAATAATTACGATACAGTTGTGGGTATCTGAGAAAGAGTGTAGTGCTCTCTGTATAATTTGTACTACAATGTCTATCGTCCCTTGCTTTGGCCTTTGATGAAAGTTGAAGTACACATTTTCTTACAGGTGGTCCTCATTTAATGACCACTCATTCATCACCCATTCAAACTTAATAACAGTACTGAACCATGGTAATTATGACCTCACTTCATATTTATAGCTTTCACAGCATCCTGCAGTCACATATTCACAATTTGCATCCTTCCCTATCATCTTCTCCAAAATAATGGGGAAGCTGGAAGGAATTTGGAAATTGCAGTCATGTGAGTCCTTACTTAATGACCTTTGTGGCCCTTGCTTAATAATGGTACCAGGACCTCTGGAACTGGTTTTCGATTTACTATCTCATTGCTTAACAATTGAGTCCCAACTAGCATTGTTAAATAGGGTCTACTTATACTTTTTTATTGATTGTTAAAGCTATCCAACTCCAAAAAGATTCTGGATAACTTACAATATGTCCAATACATAACTTAAATACACAAATCCATAACAGTAACTTAACTCAGTCCTGAAAAATGTTTCATGTAGTTAGACAGAGTTTCACATTTGCAAGTAGATAGATAGCATAAGGGACCGGTGGCTCAGTGGTTAAGACGCTGAGCTTGTCGATCAAACGGTTGGCAGTTCAGCGGTTCGAATCCCTAGTGCCGCATAACAGGATGAGCTCCCGTTACCTCTCCTAGCTTCTGCTAACCTAGCAATTCAAAAGCACATAAAAAATGCAAGTAGAAAAATAGGGACCATTTTGGTGGGTAGGTAACACCGTTCCGTGTGCCTTTGGAATTTAGTCATGCCGGCCACATAATCATGGAGACGTCTTCAGACAGCGCTGGCTCTTCAGCTTTGAAATGGAGATGAGCACCGCCCCCAAAGTTGGGAACCACTAGTATATATGTGCGAGGGGAACATTTACCTTTAGATAGCATGCAAAGGAAGACAGTAGTGTCCCATAGGATTGCAATGCAAACCCTCTAGAAAGTGCCTTTGTCAAATAAATAGAATTTTTCCCCCTACCCACCACCAATCCTTCTATTCCATGGCTTTATGTCACAGTGGCTCCTGTGGTAGAGGTAAAGCAGCAAGTGTAATGCAATGGCATCATTAACTCTGAAAGGATTAGATAACCATGAAATTTTGGCTATGTGAGCCCCCTTCTTAACACATTACCCCCCCACCAGAACAGTAATAATGTTATCCTGTAATGTGAAACCAAAGCTTTAGAGCAGTTGAGTACGTTGTAAATTACAGGCTCTGCTACACAAATACCTTGGATTGAAATGTTTATCAAGTCCTGGTGTAGCTGCTTCCATTTATGAACTATTGTTATTGAAAGTTCCCCACCACCCCTCTCCCCTCCAGCATCTGATAACACAACTTCAAAACAAGTCATGAAAATGTTGGGCAATTATAGGATCCTCTGCTTGCCTGCATGTGGGTGGTCTTTTTCTGAAGGCAAGCCAATGCCCACACGTGAGGATGTGAAAGAGTTTCCATTGAATTTATCAGTGTGAGAGGTCTGACATATGATTCCAGCAGAGCCCTTCTTCTGGAACACAACCAGAATCGAGAAGCAAAATTCTAATCCTGAACATAGATCAGCTTTCATACACTTGGCACCTTTCTGATACGTTGAGTTCAACAACACATAAGCCAATTTCCAAGCCAGAACCAAAAGCCCTGAAAGTTAGAGACTGGGGAATGAAAGACCAACATCCAGAGGATTAACAACACAGCAGGACCCCTACTAGAAACTTGAAACATTTCTAGACTCAATCCAGCTATCCTTGTGCTCTTAGAACAGTAAGGACAACAAGCTATATTTTGCCTCAGCAATGGCTAGGTAACACTGTATTGTAAATCATATAAGGAAAATAGTCCTAAGGCGAACAGCCTGTAGAGCAGGGGTGAAATGCTTCCAGTTCGGACCAGATCACCT